TAACAAAGATTTAGTAAGTGGCAATAATTTGTCCTTTAAATGCAAATATAATTTTGATACAAAAGGAAGCAAATATTTACAATTGTAACAGACATTTTAATCTCAATATCACCTCATTTCAGCTATCTAGTTATTCATTTATGAAAATATTTGCCTATATTCACAAGTTTACAGTAACATTATTAAAACAATTAAATGACATTTTCTGCACTTATGCTTACTATTGAATTTAAAATTTAGAGTGGATTTGAATAGATGATAGAAATAACTTCCATCATACACTTTACCTACCTATAGTTTTGTGGGAATGTGCGTTTTATTTCATTTCCATTCAACAATAAAGCTGTATGATATTATTACACTGTATTGTTTAGGACAGGCAACAAAACAATCCCAAATAAATAATGGGTCCCAGACCCATCTGAAGTTTATTATTCATTTTTTCGGTATTCCAAGGTGAGTATTGGTCAGTGGGCCACTTTCTTCCCCACAGTAATTTAGGTTCCCTTCTTGTCTGATATCTATCATTTCTTTGGGCTTTGCACCCAGATGGTGGGAGAGGAAGCATACCTTACTACTTCTAAAATCCTTGGTGCAGAAGTGACACACACTTTTCTCATATGCCACTAGTGAGAATAACTCACATGGCAACATCTAATTACAAGAGAGGCTAGAAAAATATTCTAGCCTTAAGGCTGGAAGAAGAATGAAGAGGCTTTTTGATAAAAGCTTAGCCATTTTCACATACAGTTTGTGAAAGTGATGATGAAAATAAAAGATATGTAGATAAGATGTTATGTTTAAAATTTCTGTTATGGGTATATTACAAATATACATGCAATTAATTGGAATCAATGGTCATAAAATTAATACCCAGTTCTATCACAAATAGTAAGCATTATTATAGGGGATTCATGTAACCTGTTATGTTTATGCTACACACTATTCCTCTTACCTGTCTAAAAACATGAACTGCAGAATATGAAAGTCATATAAGCACATGGGCACTGACTCTTGTGCTTCCACACATTTGTGTAAGTATCAATTTTCACGAGGCATATTTTGTGAAGTCTACGTTAATCAACCTTTACCTATGCATTTATATGTGATTACTGTAATTAATGAATCAGTTTGACAAATAGTCACTGAGTTTTCACCTTATAACTAAGGAATCTTAGTGTTCTAGAAGAGTGAAAAGTGTTAGTTGTTTTGGGTTATAGCAGAAAAAACGAGACAAAGAGAAGTGAAAGAAAACAGAGAGAAAATTTTTCTTTGCTTTCTAAATAAAAATGCATTAATTAATTGAATAAATTTTACAAATAACTATATACATTTGCTTAAGCAAGTTATCAGGAATGTCTTCCTTTAAACCTCTGTTTCTTTATAAAATAGAATCCTGTAATAAGATATTTATTAAAACACCTTCAGAATTACTTGCAGTTAA